AGGAGAGGAGCAGGAGGAGGAGGAGGAGGAGGAAAAGGAGGAGGAGGAGGACCAGGTTGAGGAGGAAGTGCATCCCGTGCGTGCCCGCTCGAGGAAAGTGCGCCCCGGCGGGCGTCGTATCTGCCCCGGGCCCCCCCCCCCCTGCGGGGAAGGGATCAAAGGGAAGGGGCTTCCCTTCGACTCCACTACGACGTCGTTAAATTTCGCTTTGGATAGCGCGCTTGAGGAGGAGAGCCCTGGGAGGGGGAGAACGGAGACGACGGAGACGACAGAGACGACGAGTCGAACGGAAAAGCCCCTCACACACGCCGACAGGGTCGGCGGATTTGGAGGCTCGACGAGGTTTCTTCGACGTGTTTCTAGAATGTTGGTGGGGCCGCGGGATTCCCAGGAACGCGTCGTACCTGACTTGGGAGTGCCCTGGGACATTTCCGGGATTTCCCCGGAACCCCTTCCCCTCGAATCCGGCGGGGAAGGGGTGGAGAGGCGTCGCATCTGACCCAGGACTTCCCCGGGGCCCCCACCCCCGCGGGAAAAATATGAAAAGGGAAGGGGCGTCATTGCGATTCGGTCCTGGAAAGAGGGGTCAGCGACGACGACGGCGATCAGGAGGCAGACAGGAGAGCTTCAGAGAAAACAAAGAACAGCCGAAAAGTCTCTTCCACACGCCGACACAGGGTCGGCGGATTACTACCATTGTTGTTTCCTTTTCGTATTCTGTGTTTCTTCTACTTCTACGGAGCCGTCCCCCTGCGAAGCTGCCCCCATCGGCGCTGACCTGCCTTCGCCAGCCTCGGCTCCCGCGAGCGATGCTGAAGGTTGCTCATGAACGGTTCAGTGTGCAGATGGGTGGCAGGTCACTCTCAAAACGGGCCCCTCGCCTCAGCACTGACAACCATTTTCTTTGAACGAAGTCCAGCCACTACACCGGCGGAGGGGGGACAGTTTTGCAGAGTGGGGGTCTCGAGCTCTCGCCTCAGTTCGCACGCGCGCAGCTTAAGCATTGCCACGAGCCACACTAGTGCAGGGTGGTTCCTTTTCAAACTGGGGCTTTCTCCTCTGAAGATTTCTGTAACCACTTCTCGACCGAGACATTGTACAGCCGACGCTGCGGGAGGGAGTCGGCGCAGGATCTTTTCTGAAACTAAGGTATCCAGGAGTGTGAGCCTCCCAGAATGGGTCGGAGAGTAGATGAGGTCGGAGGATCGCGCCGCATCGCCGATGCATCGGCGATGCGGTTCGATGTGGAGTTCGATTTTCTCCACGCCGACGTCGCCGATGCGTCGCCGACGTCGGCGACGCATTGCTGATACATCGCCGATGCATAGGCGATGCGGCGTGATCCTTCGACCCCATCTGCTGGGACCCCATCTGGCATGCCCAGAGAACAGGGGGAGGAGGGGGAGGTGGAGGAGGAGGAGGGGGAGGAGGAGGAGGAGGGGAAGGAGGGGGAGGAAAAGGAGGAGGAGGAGGAGGGGGAGGAGAAGGGGAGGAGGAGGAGGAGGAGGGAGAGGAGGAGGAGGAGGGAGGAGGAGGAGGAGGAGGAGGAGGAGGGGGTGGAGGGGAAGGAGGGGGAGGAGAAGGAGGGGGAAGAGGAGGAGGAGGGGGAGGAAGAGGAGGGGGAAAGGAGGAGGAGGAGGAGAAGGGAGGAGGGGAGGAGGTGGAGGAGGAGGAGGGGAAGGAGGGGGAGGAGGAGGAGGAGGAGGAGGGGGAGGAGAAGGGGGAGGAGGAGGAGGAGGAGGGGGAGGGGGAGGAGGGGAAGGAGGGGGAGGAAAAGGAGGGGGAAGAGGAGGAGGAGTGGGAAGAGGAGGAGGGGGAGGAGGAGGAGGAGGAGGAGGAGGAGGAGGAGGAGGAGGCCTCAAGGATATCCTCCGCAGCCCAAAAGGGCGTCCTCGGAGCGGGCCTCGTGCGCCGGCCGAGGGTGCCGGTCGGTCCCGCCGGCTCGCACGGCCAACCCTCACGGCAGGGGGCAGGGCAGAGTTCAGGAGGGAAAACAACGCACAGACACAATTAATCGTCGATTCCCCAGAAAATACGCGAAAATGTGGGAAGTGGGGGGGAAGGCAGCAGCCAAGAAAGTATGGGAGAATGTGGGCAAGCCTGTTATTTGTGTGTATTTATTTATGTGTCCCAGGGCCCCTTCAAGAACACGGTGTGGGGAGCTCCTCGACCCCCATCCGCAGACGCGCTAACGGTGTGTTAGCTGACGGCGAAGTAGCAAAAGTAATTGTAGGAAGGCGTGGTTCGTGGCCGAACCAATTGTAGGACATCGTGGCTCGTGCTTTCCTCCACTTCGCTGCGTCGCTCTCGCTCGACACATTTGCACAGTCGAAATGTAGGACCGTGTGGTTCGTGATTTCCTACAGTTTGTTCTGCGCGAGCCTGGTGTCACCCAACATCGCCGTTAGCGCGGCCTTGGCCCATGGGTTCCATGGCAAGTCATGCCATGTCGGTAGTTCTTGTACCGGCTGGCACGACTGGTTGCGTGACCGACGTACTC